GACATGACTCACTTTCAAGTTTAATCTGCATTAATGTTTTCTGCATCACTTTCTTGAATATAAATACAATAAGCAAAACAATAAATCAAGCCCTGATTTATAGCATTTGCCTGTTCTGTGTGTTAAATGATGTAAATACTCTCACTATGGCCCATTTCAAACTACTATTGCAGTGTCACTGAACATAGTTGAGAAGAGATGCTCAATAGCTGGTGATTATGTACTATTGCTACCATACAGATTCAGTAAGGAAAATTACCTAGAAAGAATAGGTCATACTAAAATGTATACAGTAATATAAGTGCTGGGTTTTGAGTATTTATTACCTTCATTTTTAATGTGATATATTATATGTGCCAGCTCCAGAACACCATTGATCTCAAGAAACTTTGTGAACTCTTAGGACAGAAGTTTAACACAACAATAAATAAAGCTAAAGACTTGGAAATAGAAATGGAATTAATACATTTCTCCTTTTAGTTCCATTAACACTGAGGTTTACAGAAGCGTTGAAAGAAATTCCATTTCTTAGTTCAATATATTTCATTTCTTCAATATGTGGAATCATACCTAGTATATTTGTGTTCCCCCAAAATGAGACATAATATATACTTTTGTTTTCCCCTAAAGTGATTTATAGGTGAATGAATAGTATTATACCAAAAATTTCTATATTAATATTTATCAAAAATTATTTTTGAAATATTTTTCATAATACTTCAGAGTTTTTAGGAATGTTCTCTAGCTAGGAGATAAAGATCATTCTAGCCTTCTCTCAGCTTTGTTTCCTGGCTGTCTTCTAGAATACTTACATCATGCCTATAGCATAAACTGGGGACAGTTCTACACACAAGAAAATGATTCTGACCAGGATTTCTAAGGTTCATTCTGGTTGGAGAGATTTAGGCCACATGTCACCCCTGAAGTTAAAGGTAAAGTTACTTTTCATTTAAACATATGGACTCCATTGAGAAGAATGAAATTCTAAAAACTGTTAGGAAGAGTGGAGCAAAGAACGAAGGCCAGATAACGAACCAACAAGTACCCATTATATCTTCTACTCCAAAGTCATTAATGAATACCATTTTTTTTAAACATGAAGTTTAAACTTCTCAGCTTTCAAATTCTGCCACAATTTGCCCCACTCTAACTACCCAACTTTATTTCCCACCAATTTCTTTCTACCTTTGACGGGCCAGTCTCACTCTTCTAGAAATATACAATATTAATACCTGGTTTTGACCTTCATTGTGTTCTCTACGTTTAGAAAATTCCTTTCCTCTTTCCTCTCTTTCAACAATTAGCCGTTAAGGCCCAGTTCAAAAACCTACATTCCATTTGTCTTTCCACTGTGAATGATCACAGTTCAATTCAATTAAGCATTGGTATACTAAGCAATTAACATGTATGGCAGAAGATGTTTTTAGAAGCATGGTGAGTTAAAAATACTCGTGGGAAATCTACACACAGATTTTCATGAAGAAGCTGGAAAATTGGAGATCTGCAGTTACTGAGAGTTAGAACCAAAGATACAGACTTATCTACATAAGTACTGAAATAGAAAGTTTGCCTAAGCTAAGACTATTAGAGAAAGAAAATAAGAAAACTAAAGACAAAATAGATATATAAGAAGTGGGATGTGGAGCAAACCATGGTGATTGAGTGGTATCACAGAAGGAGAAGAAGAAAAATCTGTTCACATAAATCAAAAAAGAAAAATATAAATTAAAAAGGAAAATATTCAGAGGCATCTAACACAATTCAATTAAGTATGTGAACTTTGGTTTTTTGGATCTCACCATTGCCTGACTGTAGTCTCTACTTCTCTTAGCTTCAATGTGATAAAATAGAATTTGATTTGTGACTAATCAAACATTGAATTAGATATGCCCCAATCCCATTAGCCTTGCTCAGAGGAAAATGGACCTTGTGCCATAAACATGGTTGTTGCTCCCTTTCACAGGGCATATGGCAGACAGTGTCCAAAGATAAGCAAATGAAAGAGACATGCCATCCCAAATTATGTCTTTGTTGGCAATTAATTCCACTGTCCAAAACTTCCATTTAACACTCTTCCCCCCAAATATGCTAGTCATTAGAAGGACAAAACATACCCGTAGTTGAATATTTAAGTTCAATTAAAAATGGCTCTTTCTTCCAATCTTTGGTATAATTTGACATGTTCCATGATTTTCAGTTATCAGACACATTAACTTCTGAATCTTACTAAAGTATCACTTTAGGCCAAGTGAAAACTTTTTTGCCGAAAGAAAAAGAAAAGAAAAGAAATAAAGAGAGAAGAAGGAAAAGAAGGAAGAAGGGAGGGAGGGAGGAAAGGAGGAAGAAAGAAAGACAAAAAGACAAAGAAAGAGAGAGAGAGAAAGAAAGAAAGAAAGAAAGAAAGAAAGAAAGAAAGAAAGAAAGAAAGAAAGAGAGAAGGAAGGAATTTCTGAATTAGAAGTCAATTCATTGTCCCCAGCCCTGCCCAAAAGAAGAAGAGAAAAACACCTAGGCATGAAAAGTGGGTTTCAACCCGTTCCACTCTAAGTCATAGAGCTTGATGCCATAAAATAGGTACTTTCTCAACCATGGACTGAATGTTATATCACATAATTACATAAGTAACAGTATTTTGTATTTGTTTAAATTCAGTTTTCTGAAGTATCTTTCTTATAGCACAATGCTAGTAGGTACATTTTAAGGATGTTAAAACTATATCTACTCAATTCTTGACTTACCAGGCATGCTTATCTCTTAAATAAATTTTTCCCAAATGTGCTTTAGAAAAAAAAAAGGCATTTATTTTTTTATATCAGGGTTGTCAAGGGCTGCAGGGTAGAGGGGAGATATTGACTACAAGTGAGACATAAGAGAACTTTTTGGAATGATGGAAATATTGTCTATTTTGATTGTGGTGGTGGTGAAATGACTGCATACATTTGTTAATACTCATAAAGTATACATAAAAAGGGTGCTTTTGACTGTAAGTAAATTATACCTCAAAGAAAGAGAGTGAAAGAGGGAGAAAGAAAGAGAGAGAATGTGCAGATAAATATAAAATTAAAGGTAAAGAGTATTCATTTTAAAATTATTTCCCAAACTTCTTAATACAGAAAAAAAGAGGGAAATTAAATTTCTTTCTCTGAAGAATCTCTGAATTGTATAGCTCCCATAATTCTGAAAAGTTAAACATACATTTTTATGGAATTAAAAATACAATGAATTTATGATGGGTAAAATTTATACGCATGATTTTAAAAACTGGAAAACATAGAATATCTTTTTAGTCTGAAAAAAATCCAGTTTTACATATATATTTTTCACAGTCTTTTTATTTAGTTCATGTAGGTTTGATTTTTATACCCATTCTAATTTTAAGGTACTTTGAAATCACATACAACAAGGTACTTTGAAATGCCTTATAATAATTAAGACAAAAATCCAAAACATATAAAAATCAATAAAACAATTTAATTTTATTCATTAAATAATAAGTGTATTGAGCCCTTACTATACATGTAAGACAATGTTAGTCAAAATCAAAAGGAATTATAAAGATGAATAAGCTGATCGCTGAATTAAGGGAAAAAATAATTGCCTATAAGACAGGTGTTTTAAGCAAGGCTGAGGTCACAGACAACATACAAAAATGTCGGGATTGGTTGAAAGACTGGCTGCAAAGGAATAAGTACTACCAAGGCAGAGGAAGCACAAAGTATAAATAACAGGATGTTTGTAAAGATGAATAGCAGGTTGAAGAGGAAGTGGGATTGAGAAAATTTTTGTTTAGGATAGGAGCAAATGAAGATGGAACATCAAAAAGTCCTTAAGACAACATCAGCTACTGCACTGAGAATAATATTCTGATGGGGAGCTTCACCTTGCCAAGGAACTGGGCTATTTCTTTCTCAGAGACACAAGCAAAAAATAAGAAATTACAATATTAATCATGTGAGAGGAAGCAGGTATTGACATATGATATAAGAAGGAGGAAGCTGTGCCCCTGAGAATTCGGGCTGGGTAGCTTTAGAAACACTAAACACTCAATTGATAATGGTGTCTCACCCCTACATCCCTACATAAATCAACATTTAAAAAAAATGTTAAAACACAAATTATTTCTAGTGAAATTCAGCGAAGTTCTGATAATCCTAATGATGAATACTTCTGGTAGTTTATGTTTGAAATATCAAATTATTTCAAAAGAAATGATGCTTAGTTAGTGCTTGTGTTTTGCTGATACCTCAATTCATGCTTAGACTCTCTGATGAGTTTCCAGCAACAGAATTTGCTGGCTGGTTACTTAAACCATGTGCCAGCGATGGTATCACCTGGGTGGGTGGCTGAGTGAGTGAGTGAGTGGACAAAGTGGTGAGTCTAGTGTTTAATTTTATTTAGTTATTTGATTGGTCACTCAGGGTTAGATCAAACTAACCAAACTCATAAGATTCTGTTACATAAATGAAAAAGCAAATGCAATAATAAAGAGAAATGTTACAAGCAACCAAGATATGATCATTTTAAACACACCTTCTCCCTGGGCTATTTGATTTGTAACAGGGTTATCCTTTTCCAGTGCTTAATATGTTTGTGTCAACATTTTTCCCTTCACCAGAGAATCTGATAAACCAAGAAAATGATCGGAAATGTACAAAGTGAACACAGAATCCAGGGATTCATTACTTCACTAACCATTCACATACCGGGAACTATACTAGGCACCAAGAATGCACTGAAAAATGAAGGCCAATGATCAACCTCATGCATCTTAGCACCTAGAAGAGGAAATAAACACTAAAATAATAATCCTAAAATTGGGTTCTGTGAAAGAATATAAACAGAGGAATTTACTTAGTTGGTGGGACCTGTGGAGGCCTCTCTGAGAAAAGCACATTTTAACTAATATTTTGCTATATAATCTTTAAGAATATTCTACCCAGCTCATATGCTACTTACAGGAAACACATGTGTTTAGTGACTGTAAGTTTGTATCCTACAGATTGAATGTACGGCTATTATGAAAATGGTGCTTTGTAGTCATGAAGAGGGTGTATTCTGGGATCAGACCACCTGCCTGGAGAGCCTTACTAACCTCAGTTTCTTCATCTTGTAAGATGGACATATTACATGCCTTGCAAATTATTAAGAAGAATTGTGGGAAGAAATTAGAATAGTTCCTGACTAAGTGGTAAATGTTTGATATGGATGACTGTTGTTATTATTATCGTTAACATAGAGTTTCTCCTCTGGAAGTGCTGACTAAATCTTGTCAATTTTTGTTCTTAGGAAGGCATCTTTTTGTAATGAAAATTGGGACAATTCCTGGCTGTTGACACATTTTTTTCTTGAATAATGTTATTTTAGGATCAAATTATTCAACTTCAGATTTGAAGCACTTTATATTTTAGGTTGACTTCTTCAGAAATCTGACCAGTACGATATAATTTTGCTAATTCAATTGCCTCAAGAAGAGTAGGCACTATATTAGCACTTAAGAGGATTGATTCTGGATCCAGCCACCTGGGTGAGAATTCCAGCTCAACTACTTGTTAGCTCAGTGGCCTTGAATAAAAAACTTTATGTGCCTGTGATCCCAGCACTTTGGGAGGCCAAGACAGGCAGATCACCTGAGGTTAGGAGTTCAAGACCAACCTGACCAACATGGAGAAATCCCATTTCTACTAGAAATACAGAATTATCTGGGCATGGTGGCACATGCCTGTAATCCCAGCTACATGGGTGGAGCTATAGGCCATTATCCTTAGCAAACTAGCCCAGGAACAGAAAACCAAATCCACATGTTCTCACTTAGAAGTGGGAGCTAAATAATAACACATGGACATATAGAAGGGAACAACACACACTGAGGCCTATTGGAGGATAGAGAGTGGGCGGAGGGAGAGGATCAGGAAAAATAACTAATGGTTACTAGGTATGTAACAAACCTGCATGTTCTGCACATGTACCCCAGAACTTAGAGTATTATAATAATAATGTTAAAAGAAATAAATAAGTCACACACACATACACAAACAAAATAAATGGTGGGCATTGATGTCAGCAAATGAAAGGCAAGTAAAGTCAGAATGAAACCAAAAGTTGAGAATTAAGAGGGGTTAAAACTGGGAAATTAAACAGTAGTTTCCAAGGAAGTCATAAAGAATCTTGCCAGCAAAGGATCTGAAATTATCATTACTATAGGAAACTTGTTAAAGTATCTTAAGATTCTTCAAAAGTATGTTTGGGGGAGGATCCAAGATGGCCGATCACTAACATCTCCAGATTGCAGCTCTCAGTTAAAGTGCAGAGAACTAGAGGACACCACACTTTCAGACAAATTCAGGTTGCTCACGGAGCAGAAGATCCCCAGTGGAGGAGTCACACGGATCGCCAGCACAAGTCTCGTGGCCAGCACAGCGGTTTCGCCGGCACCTAGGCGCGGCAGCTCTCGGAGCAGAGTAAACAGGGCTGGCTTCCCTTCGGACCGGGGTTTGGAGGACTCACACAGGCCCCCAGCACGACTCCTGAGGCCGGTGCAGCGGCTGTGACGGCACCTCGGCAGGGCAGCTCTCCGCGCAGAGTAAACGAGACTGGTTCCCCTTCTGATTGAGGTTTGGAGCCCCGGGAAGGCAGAGGCGCCTATTTTGGACACAAGAAGGAAGCCAGACAGGAGAATCCTGGGCAGAAAAGCACCATCAGTCTTAACGCCACTGTTCTGGCCCTGGGAACTAACAACTTGGAGGTCCACTCAAGAGACCTAATCTGAAAGTTGGTAATTTCAAAGACGACGGAAGGATAAATTTACAATGATGGGAAGAAACCAGCGTAAAAAGGCTGAGAATACTCAAAATCAGAACGCCTCTCCCTCTAAAGATGATCACAGTTCCACCTCAACAATGAAACAAGGCTTGATGGAGAACGAGTGCCTCCCAATAACAGAATCACGCTTCAAGGAATGGATAATAAGAAACTTCTGTGAGTTAAAAGAACATGTGTAGCCCAACGTAAAGAAACTAAGAACTTTGAAAAAAGGTTTGATGAAAACCTATTGAGAATAGACAACTTAGAGAGGAATATATGTGAATTAATGGAACTGAAGAATACAATACAGGAACTCCGCGAAGTACGCACAGGTTTAAACACTCGAATTGTTCAAGCAGAAGAAAGGATATCAGAGGTCAAAGTCCAACTTAATGAAATAAAACAAGAAGACAAGATTAGAGAACAAAGGATAAAAAGGAATGAGCAAAGTCTCCAAGAAATGTGGGACTATGTGAAAAGACCAAATTTACGTATGATAGGTGTACCTGGATGCGACGGAGAGAATGAATCCAAGCTAGAAAATACCCTTCAGGATATTATTCAGGAAAATTTTCCTAAACTAGCAAAGCAGGTCAATATTCAACCCCAGGTAATACAGAGAACACCACAAAGATATTCCTCAAGAAGAGCAACCCCAAGGCACATAATCATTAGATTCATTAGGGTTGAAACAAAGGAGAAAATACTAAGGGCAGCCAGAGAGAAAGGTCAGGTTACCCACAAAGGGAAGCCTATCAGACTTAGAGCAGATCTCTCAGCAGAAACTCTACAAGACAGAAGAGAGTGGGGGCCAATATTCAACATCCTCAAAGAACAGAACCTTCAGCCCAGAATTTCATATGCAGCCAAACTAAGCTTCACAACTGAAGGAAAAATAAAATCTTTTATGAACAAGCAAGTACTCAGAGATTTTATTACCACCAGGCCCGCTTTACAAGAGCTTCTGAAAGAAGCATTACACACAGAAAGAAACAACCAGTATCAGCCTTTCTAAAAATATACCAAAAAGTAAAGAGCACCAACATAAAGAAGAATTTACAACAACGAATGGATAAAACAGCTAGTTAACATCAAATGGCAGTAACCCTAAATTTAAATCGACTAAATCCCCCAATCAAAAGACACAGCCAAAACCCAATGGCATGTTACATCCAGACCTGTTTCACATGCAAGGATACACAAAGACTCAAAACAAAGGAATGGAGAAAGATTTACCAACCAAATGGAGAGCAAAAATAAATAAATTAATAAATAAAAAGCAGAAGTTGCAATTCTCGTATTGGATAAAATAGATTTTAAAGCAACAAAGATATAGTGGTAAAAGGATCAATGCAACAACAAGAGCTAACGATCCTAACATCCAGACACATAGAGACTTAGATTCAATGAGACAGAAAATTAATAAGGATATCAAGGACTCAAACTCAGATCTGGAACAAGTAAACTTAATAAATACTTATAGAGCTCTCCACTTCAAATACACAAAATATACATTCTTGCCAATACCACATCACACCTACTCATAGGTTTAAATGAAACATTGATTGGCCATTATTAATACCCATTTTTTTTTCAGAATAAAGCAATATTTCCTTTCACTCTTCCTCTTTCTGTTCCTCTTTCTCCCTCTCCTTTACTCATTTTTTTTCTTTCCTTCTCTCGAAAAAAAATAAAAATAAAAAAAAAAACAAAAGTATGTTTGTTACTTGTACTATCTGTTGATAGAATTTTTTATTTTATGTAACTGCGATTAATTTAAAGAAATTCTAGGATCCTGAGATTTTAAAGGAGAGTTGGTAAATCATGAATTTAAGTATTCTGTGCAATACAAGGTTTAACTTTCCCTCAAAGCTTCTGCTTCCTGAGAACTGATGAGTATAGTGTCGTGCCTAATTCTGAGGTTGCAGTGGCAATCACAGGTATCATAACCGCCACTAAAAAGCCCCAACATACTCACATGTCCTATCTAAACACAAATAGCAATGTCAAAACTGTAGTCTATACCTCACAATGTCATAAGTGTAGGTGACATGTATATAACTAGCAAGTAAATCATTTTAATACTTAGCTCCCAGTTATTAATTATAATAAATTTAATCTGTCTTTAAAGTCATCTTATAGTACTATTTTTAAACAAGAAGTTTAATGTACTTGTTATTTCACAAACACATTTTAGACTTGTATAATTTTTTAAATACTCCCTTTTTCAAATGTTGCCAAGAAATAAGCACTGAATTTAGCATTAGGGTACCCACAATCTTTTACACATGACATTAATTTAGTTCTACTATTAAGGCTAAAGAGGAAACGTAGTTTTAGTTAATAATTCAATACACTTGTGCATAATTAGATGACTATTTTGGATGCCATCCTTAGCATAAAAAAATTGAAACTAAACATTCTTTAACACCGATTCATAAACACTCAACAGGTCTATTAGCAACAAAATCTGCATAAAAATCAATCTTCAGATATGTCAGTGATGTTAAAGAATTCTTAAAGGTAATTGTTACTCTCTTACAAATGGAATGATTCTAAAATGATTTTAAAATGCTTAATCATCCCATTTTATGTAACCTAGGTAATTTGTCTACCCTTTCTACTATTTAGTGTCATGTTGGTAAATATTCAACTGTATTCTGTTTTAAAACTTCTCTTCGTGGCCATCTGACACTTTATACTATGCCCTGTTTCTTTTACACTTCTATTTTCCAGGGAGCTTCTGGCTATTTTGCGTCTTACTCAGAAATTTAGTGAAGTTGCTGTCTTGTAAATTATTATCAGTTCCATTTGGTTTTGGTCCCTATTTTTAATGTAATTTTCTGTTCTGATAACTCTGTCCTAATTTTATTTCCAGAAACATGTAACTGGTAAAGTTTTTAAAAACATTTTCTTTGTCTACTTTCATTTTAAAATTTTATTACTTATGAAACACACTTAAAAATATGGAAAATAATATATATGTATTATTATTAAAACATGTTAACATTTTGTCATATTTACTCTAGATCTTTCCTTTCTGAAAAAATAATAATAAGATGATACGTATTCCTCTTAAGTCCTAACAGGAACCTTTTCCCCTCACTCCCTCCCCAGAGGTGGGTGTATATCATTTCCATGCATGACTGTACTTTTACAACATATGCATATTCACAAATAAAACATGACAAATTATTTTGTCTTGATATTTGCATGAATCTAACAATACTGTACACCCCTTTTGCAACCTAGTTTTTACTATTATGTTTTAAGATTATCTGTTTATGCACATAAGTCAAGTTTATTCATTTTAACTGTTGAATAGGGTTTCATTATATGACTTAACCATAATTCATCTATTTCTCTGAGTGACAACTGGGTTTCTTTCATTTTTTTATACTTTGACACTCTTGCAATTCTTATCTTTGTATATGTCTTCGCATGTAAGAATTTCTCCAGGGTAGACTCTTGGAAGTAAAGGGTCTGACTCAGAGAATGTGTATATTTGAAATTCTATTGATTGTTGTCAAATTGTTCCTCAAAGTGGATGTACCAATTTACATCCCTACCTGTGGCATATAACAGCTTTTTTCTTCTTTAAATCCTCTTCAACACTCATCATTACCAGGTGGAGTGATGTTTGCCTATTACAGGTATGTGGCAACACCTCCTTCTTTTGATTTGTATTTTTCTAATTAACAGTAAGATTGAGCATCTTAGTGGGGCACAGTGGCTTACACCTGTAATTCTAGCACTTTGGGAGGCTGAGGCAGGAGGACTGCTTGAACCCAACAGGGGTGTAAGGCTGCAGTGAGCTATTATTGTGCCACTGCACTCCAGCCTGGGTGACAAAGCGAGACCCTGCCTATTACAAAAAAAAGAAAAAGAAAGAAAGAAAAAAAATTGCGCATCTTTTTATATGTTTATTATCCATTTGTTTTTATCTCTTCTCACTGGCACATATATGGTCTTTGCCCTTTTTCTTTCTAATGGATTGTCTTTTTCTTATTAATATAGAAAAACTCTTTAAACCCACATTAATCATTTGTCACTTACATAGATGGAAAATAACTTTTCATACTTTGTAACTTGTTTTTCCTATTTGACAAGCAAAAATTTATTTTAAATGTCATTTTTAAGTTTTCTGTATATGTTAGTAAAGAATGCGTATCACCTAATTATTGGAAAAAGTGTTATTTTGGTATCAATAAATTAATCTTGTTAATTTTATTAAACAAATTTCCAGAATTACTGATTTTCTTAATCTGATTGATCTGTGAATTACTGATGGAGGTGCTTAAAATTTCCCAGAATGAAGACGGGCTTCTAATTTCTTCTTGTAGTTATCATAGTATATTTTGTGAATGCTCAATTTATGTTTATTTTTATTACAACCTTCTGGTGAATTGAAACTTTTATCAGTTTGTATTAATCTCCTACATCTTTGGTAATGCTTTTTAACTTCCGTATCTATTTTGTAGTATTTTACATCTTTATGCTAGCTTTGTTTATCCCTTCAATTTCTTGCAATCTTTGTTGTCTCTGTGTTCCCTCTAAACTTCTGATTAAACTGGAATTAGGTTTTCTCATTCTACCTCCTACATCTTTTAAGAGCGCTTCCATATTTATTTATTTATTTATTTTACTTTCTCTGTCTATGTTTGATAAGAAAATTGTTTCTCAAATGAATCTTTATGTTTACTATTTTTCTCTTTACTTATATTTGAACTGAACTCTAACTCCAATTACAACAGTTCTTTTTTCTACAAATTTTACTTGGCACATTTACAAAACTGTCTGTTACACTTTGCTGTACATCCTATGTAATCATAGTTTTTATTCCCATTTTTATTTCCTTTTACTCATTAAATATATTTACTCATGTTAACCTTAGGAATTTGATTATTTCAGGTGTGAGTTTATATTCCTTGTAACTTTATATGCACAATTTTTGTGTTGGTCAAAATGAAAATGTATTTCTTTAGAAAAAATTTGCACCTGTTTCTGCTAAAAACAGTACATCTCAGGGTCACCTGAAAATAAATGAAATGATAGGTGTTTTTTGACCCACATCAGTGGCATGTATTCCAGCCTCAAACTCACTCAAGGGACAACTTCCAGTGGTACTTCTTAGAGACCTTTTTATCCTCTCCTTCACCCAGAGTCAAGGCCAAAACATGTAAGTTTTCTGACATTCTTCCTTTGTGAACTGGTTTTTACTTTTAGAATTTTTTTTTTACTTACTTACATGTTTGATTTCTAGGCTACACATGGAGGATGTTTCTTTTGGGCATTCTCATTTCATGCAGGTACCTTTGTCCATCCTTTTTATGTTGACTGGACTCCGGGGTTTGTCTCCTTCCGCCTATAAGCAACGAAGTGCACTAAGGTTCCACTTAGAATAACAATTTCGGGGGAGAGATCTTGAGTTCAAACTTAGACATACTATATATCAGTGTTTGTAAGACAACCAAAGATAAACAAGCAGGTGCTTCAATGTGCAGCTGAGCAAGAGGTAAGCATGAAAACAGTATTTGAACCTTGGCTGTGCATGATACTCATTACAAGTGTTTATAGTTAAAAAAGAAGACTTAGGAGGGAGGCCAAGTATCTTACACTGAAAGCCAATGAAAAGGCTTCTATAAACATAGTTTGTATATTCCACACAGGATTTCAAATCATTTGATCTAATACTTAAAAGTTAGGGGATTTCATATAAAAATGTGAAACTTCTACTTCTATTGAAAAATGAAAGTTTAGGCATCGAAGGGGTTCACACTCAAAGCAAGCATGAGCTAGAATTGAATGAGCCCATCTGCTTTGGACGAGCCATGTATTCTCTTACCTAGACTGGATCCCTTATCTACATTACCTGTCTTGCCTCTGTATATTTCAGCTTGTACCTTGACCAAAGGTAATTATGGCTATTTCATGTGATTTTTGAAGAGGACATGGACTTTAATGACAGTAGAATAGAAAAAATAAACAAACAAACAAAATCCACCTTAATGGGATATTGATGGACTGTCCCAAGACTGGAAGCAGAGATGGGGTTTTATTTTTGATTGGGGTGAGATTTTTAGAAGGTGGAGTCATCACCCATTTACATATAGGACCCCTCAGTGGGGCATGACTTCAGAGTGATTTTCTACAGCTTGTGGGAACTCAGAAAAAGATGCCTGATATTGGTCTAGAGGGAATAAAGCATTCAAATTCATAAACAGAAAATACAGACCAAGCTAATTAACACCAAATATAGAAATATTTAAGGTGCCTGTTTGTGCCAAGGGAGAAGAGAGTACCACCCACGAGTTAGGAATTGCATTGGGCCCACTCATAACACATATTTCCCAAAGAGTGATTTCAACTAATTTATGGTTCAAGGGTCTTGAAAGGATAAAACTAGACAAAACAAAAGACCACCACTTGAGAAAGCTTTAGAGGGAGAAAGAACATCAAGAAAAACTAGGTTATGTGAGAACATCAGCATGAAGCTAATGTTCAGGGAAGAGTATAAGTACTTACAAGATGTTTCTGATGATGGACTATGAATGTGATATAAGCACAATGGAATCATTTCCGGAGATGGGAACAGGTGAAACATGGGGCAAGGAATGGGTTCACATAGAACCTTCTGGTTCTATGTGACCTATGAGTTTATGAATGCTTGTGGCATCATAGACAGAAATAAAAGGCATAATGAGATTTGTTATAGCAAACTCAAGACCATGATTGGTGGAGAGGAATGGTAATGGGAAACTGGGTTGTCCTCTTATCCACATAACGGAGTTGAGGATGCCAGGGGAGCAAATTATTCTTCTGAATGGGATCCTGACAGACAATAGTAAGTGTAAAAAGTATAGTTTAATTTCGATGCCTTGTGCTGGCTCATTGATCTGTTAGGAGTGGGACAGTCTTACCAAGCAAGCAAGAGGGCAGAGATGATTAGAACCACTGAAATATAAAAATCCAATAAACAGAACAAAAAAGGTATTCATTAATATAATTCAGAAAATTTTTCCTAAAATAAATGTTGGATCTTTAGATGGTTAGACAATACCATATATCAGAATATTCCATATAAATCAATTAGCATCAAGATATTTCCTGGTTATTTAAACCAAGGTTATAAACACATTTTTCAGTCATGAGGCAGCAAAAAGATGCTTTCCTACAACAGAGAAAAATTCAGGCTGGCCTCAGCCTTCCTGAACGCAAACTTAAAGGCAGAATAAAATTAAGCTATTGCCACAAAATTCCTGAGGTAAAAAAATGTGTGACTCAAAGACTATATTCATCTAGAGTGTCATTAATGATAAAGGCAACAGGCAAGTATTCTTAAGCCTTGAAAAACCTAGGAAACGTAGCATCCATGAATTTTTCTTTGAAAATACTATTCATAATGAACCAGTGGGATGTCTTGTGAAGGAAAATAATAATAATAATAATAATAATAATAATAATAATAAAAGAAAATGCTATTCAATAGTAAATTTCAACAACTTAAGAAATAATCTAAATAATGGAACTTCATTAAATGAAAAAGCTCTGCACAGCAAAGTAAATAATTAACAGAGTAACAGAAAACTGACAGAATGAGAGAAAATATTTGCAAACTATGCATCTGACAAAGGACTAATATCCAGAATCTACAAGGAATTCAAATAACTCAATGAGAAAGAAACAAATAGCTCCATAAAAAGTGGGCAAAAGTCATAAACAGACATTTCTCATAAGAAGACATACAGGCAGCCAACAATCATAAGAAAAAATAGTCAACATCACTAATCATCAGAGAAATACAAATCAAAACCACAAAGAGATACCATCTCACACCAGTCAGAAAGGCTATTATTGAAAAGTCAAAATACAGCAAATGTTGGGGACAATGCAGAGAAAAGAGAGTATATCCTGCTGGTGGGAATACAAATTAGTACAACCTCTATGAATAACAGTATGACGATTTCTTAAAGAGATTTTTAAAAACCCTACAATTCAATCCAACAATCCTACTACTGGATATCTACTGAAAGTAAAAAAGTGTTAAAAAGATACATGCACTCATGTTTATTGTAGATCTATTCACAATGGTAAAATTATAGAATCGACCTAAGTGTCCATCAATGGATGACTGGATGAAGGAAAAGTGGTGTACCTATATACCATGGAACACTACACAGCCATAAAAAGGTGAA